CCCCCCCCCCCCCGCCCCGCCACAGCCCACATGTAGTTTTCATAACGGACCTCGGAGGTCACGGTATTCCTGATCTGATTTCGCCAATGCTTCTTCTCCGGTTGTGCTTGGCGTTCCCGCCAACTTTCACAATTTTGGGTAAGAGGGCTAAGTATGCTCAGGGTTCATCTTCGAAAAATTCTCGACCCAGTGCACTGCTCCTTCTCCTTCTGATACAGTTTTTGTTTTCGATTGGATATTTTTGGTAACATTAGTTAAACGGATGAATCATTGTCGAGGGTTTCACAGTAGTGCGATGCAGTTGCAAATTTTCTTGTTGACGACTTCCGTTAAGGGTTTTTTCATCCTTTCATCCAGATATGGAATTCATCCATCAATGAAGATGAATCAGACAGAAATCGGATAAGAAGAGGCTCAGTTGTTAAACGTGATTCACGCTCACGATTATTGGAAGGTACGTTTCGTGCCCATTAAAAAAGTTGGAATGAAGGAGGATTGACCAGAGGGACACTACCTTGATGAAAGCATAAAGACTCCGCAGTAGTGAGGATTGGGAATGGAGCAAAGGAGTGAGAAGTAAACTGATTTAGAACAACTAGAAATCGCAATGAGAAATGTGCTGATCGAAAACGAAGGAGTGCAGAAGGACTCAAGCCTCGGTATTGATAGAAGCTTCTTGAGATGCGGTGCGCATTCGACCTTTACTCGAAGTCGTGGTAGTGTTTGAAGGCGTGTGTGAGCTTTGCAATTATTTATGGTCGATTTAGGAAAATGCGATTTAGTAAAAATTTCTACGAACATTTTGGGGTAGCGAAAGAACTCTGGGGAAGCAATAAGGCCGAGTACACATGAAGCCCTATGCACNATGGAAGAAAGGCAGAGGCAGAAATATGGTGAAATGAGACAGTAAAAACGTAGAAGACAGTTGATGACAAAGAGTATAGCCACTTAAATGAAATACAGGTCAAATATGCCAAAGTAGGTAAGATTACGTGAGAAAACGGAAGATTTAGAAGGAAATTGTTATAAAAACTTGTTTCGTTGGGTAATGAGTGTTTAGGGACTTCCAATTTCCAACTGCTACAACGATTCTGAAGATTTTCGGAGAAGGAAGTAAATGACCAAATGGAGAAATTAGTTTCGCACTCCGATATATGCGCCTCCGGTCGAAGTGACGGAGAAATAGGGACTGGGATGTGCAGAAACGGGGTTTGAGAACAAAAGTTGACCCAGATTGTTCGGCGCCGATTTCTAGCGGGTAAAAAGCAACGACGAATGAGGACGATGACAACGACGACGTTGACAACATGCAATTCAATCAGCCGAACCCGTCGACCCCGATCATGAAAGAAGTAGAAGAGGTGGGGGATCACTGCAAAGATGATACTGTAAAGTGACTCTCAGCTAGGCAACGCATGCCTTTGTCCGCGGTTCAGTGCATTTTATGAAAATTCGTTCAAAACCTGAACTAAGTCACACTTGAGTTTTAACAAGGGCTGAAGGAGACCTGATGTAATTAGCAAGAAGGAACATTCAGCGGAAAGACCAATGAACAGGAAGAAATAGATCCACTTATAAGTTTACATTCCTCACTCAGATTTGCTTTGATCTTTGAGCCTAAACAAGCCCCCTTGGGAGTCCCTACCCCAGCAAGATAAAAAGAATGCTCGGATATTTCGAAGGATCAAAGACTTGATTCCCAAATCGACACAGCTTCTAGGCTAGGATAACTACGCAATCACATAAACAGCCAGTTTGAGACCATATGAATCGAATAGATCGAACGGAAGGTGGCCGAAGTTTGATGCTTCTGCTTATGGTGAGCCAGAATAGCCGGTGGAGAGATAGCCCCGGAAGAAATGATGTGTTTGACGGTAATCAGCTCTCCTGAAATTGCCTTCCCATTCACAATCGTAACGACATCGTAACATTCCTCAAACAAGTTCACGAACACCAAATGTTCATGTCGTAATCTCTATCTCTAGAAAACCTGGTCGGCAGACAAAGAATACCGGGAAGTAGGTGAAGTTCATTGAGCTACAGCTTGTCGACCATGCAAAATCCTGACCTTTCCTAACTGTTTATTACTTTGTCATCTTCGAAAACAATGGGCATTAAGGTCAGTGACATGACAACCTTCGCGTTTTCCTGCGTTCTTTTATTTTTCGAGGATACAATGAAGCATACATCGAGTAACATTTATTTGAAGTATACACCAGAATAATTAAACACTCATCATGAATTCAAAATGCAACCTCTATTGTGCATGGAAAAATATCAAGACCATAGCCGGTTTTTTTTGGATTTCATTTTTTAAGGGTAACATTTTGGTCAGTTCTTCTCCAGAGCTGCGTGAACGCAGGACAAGGTGGATGTGAAAATAGTGAAAACTGAGAAGAAATGTCAGAGAGCAAAGAAGATGGCAGGAAGAGGTGTGAGCAGAAGAAGAGTGATGGAATAAAAAAACAAAAGCAGGAGTAGCGATGAGCAAGCAATACAACTACATGGAGATAATATCAATGAAGAAGATTGAAAGGAGAAAAGAATGTGGACTGTGGTAGAGAAGAATGGGAAAAGAGAAAACAGATCCTAAGATGGGTTGCGAGTCGTTTGGGAAAATCGTTCCGCCTTTGTTCATGCAGGTCAATCAGTTTGAACTAGTCGTCCGAGCGTCATGAACCACTCGTCCACTCTTCACCACATGCGAAATCACCGTGTCTTGAGCAGCCATTCTGCAAATTTAACTCTGTGTAGATCAAGTTGGAAAAATTCAAATTTTTTCGAAAAATTGAATTTTGAAATGCCAACTAGTTGTGTTAAAAGGGGTTGGGACAATCTTAACTTCGCTAGTGTTCATCTATTACACGGGCAAGAACGGCGGCAACAGAAAGAGCCCCTGCTAAGCTTTGTGATGGAGTTAAGCGTTAACAAAGCATACGCGGAAGCCGCTGAAGACTGATGGAAGAAAAATGGAGCAAGAGATGGATGACTACAGCGCTGATGGGTGACTACCATCCCCCGTTGAGACACTGTTCCCCACTGATGCATCGTGAGATCTACCGCAATCCACCATCAAAATCAGTGTTGGGGAGTTCGAATCGCCAATAGGCAAGCTAAATCCCGTACCTGTAGATGATATGCTTCCATGAACTGACGCTTTCATCGAACACCACGAAGTCGGCATGACGGCCAACGCTAATAGCACCATGGGTTCGACCACGTCCGAGAGAATGAGCAGCGTTCAATGTAGCTGCCACAAGTGCTTCTTCCATACTCAGACGCATGGTGACACATGCTGAAAACATCCAAATTCGCTATTTCAAGGCAATACATCTGTTCTTTCTGATCATTCCCGTTTGCTGCTGAAATCTCGACAGTTCCTTGATTGCTGTTAGTGCTTTTACCAATGGAATCGATCAATGATTGGTCGACAATTCTCAACCATCTTATTACAACCACTAGAACTTCTCCACTTTTTTACCGTCAAACAAATGAAGTGCAGTTTCGTTTCGAACAGAGCGCTATTTTCAGCGCTCATGCCTTTTTTGGTCATCACTGGGACGTAAAAACATTAGGGCATATTATTTAAAAGTTGGTACACATTTGAAGGGATGGAGAGAGAAGGAGAAGCGTTAGCTCCACAGACGTTGTTTTGATGGGGAGTTAGTGCAGATATTTACGTTACTGNTTCGTCACCCTGACTGTAAAATGAAAATATTCAAAAACCGAGAAATATGAGCAGTCAAAATCAAAGCAAAATTTCCAAATAGGGGGATATAGAAGCAGAACCTGTTGCTCAAACTCACAATGCGCTGCTTAGAACCTGCAAGGGATGGGGATTCATTCCATTTCATTAATGAAGCTATTGAAGGGCGGGGGCTGGCCCACTGTTTAAGCAGCTTGGAAGGATTGCGCCCCGAATAGGTCCGTCAACCTCATGGGGCGCCCTAATAACTATAGGCAGCAGAGTAGAGGGTCTGATTAGGGGAGAAGATTTACAATAGCAATAGAAATAGTAAAAATCAGGCAAAAAAGATTGTCAATTGAATTGTGCTAAAAGAATCGAACGCGGTCATTTACATGTGCGTATAGGCAACTCATTTTGAGTACAATAGCAAATTTCTCGGCCACGGAAATCAGCCACCTATGACAATGAGACGGACATTGTGTGTAGGCGAAACACTGATGTGTTTGCCCGTTAAGCTTAAATGACAAGCAACATTTTGGATGGAGACAGGTGATGCGGTGCTAGATGCCAGACTCGCGCAGAGTCGGGTGGTTCCAAGCGGAGACTCGTTATGGCTACAGACCTATAAGCATGATGTTTTTGCAACTCTATTCCAAAAAGAGGACCGTCGCTCCGAAAAGCATCACCAGTTTCTCGACGATTTTGGCAGGTGGACAACCCACAACTACAAGAAGGTCATTATCGTTTGTATCTAAACCAAGCCTCACGCTGCTCGAATCAGGTAGCAGTTTTCTAAACGAAAAATGAAGAACCCTGAATTCAACCACCTCATTCGCGCTCTCGTCTTTTTTGGTCCACTGAGGGTACATGTTAAAGGCAAACAATTCGACAACTGGTCGATTACCGAAGCAGATCTGAACAGCATCTTATCCGCACTTGTTAAAAGATTGAGGCTGCTCAGTGCCCAGATCATTGAAGAATACAATCACCATTACTGTCTTCGGCACATATCCATCGGCCAATCTTATAGATTGTAGGTCCAAGAAATCAACTACAGCATTTTGAGGTCACCAAATGTGGCGAAGTTCTTCATGGCCAGGGACTTGTGAAATGTCTAAGAAGGTGACAGACAAAAGAGTCGAGCTCACGTATACCCATCTAGTCCCCTCCACTCAGTCGCCTGTGGCCTGGCCTTACCTGATAGGTTGGCTGCAGTCCTCTCTGCCAGCATAGGCTTAGTTGATTCAACATCAATTCTATGAACATGAAAATTATTGTATGATGATTGTCGCGCTTTACTTTTAGGGATAGCATTTCCTTCGAGTCACATAGGCAACAGTAAAACCTATCCCAAGTGCTGTTTTTCTGAGCTTTTCCTTTATCGCTTCTCTGCTAGCTCCGCAAGTTCGGAGGTTTCCTGATGATTGCCTTTTGCTCGTGCTATCCCACGGTGACGTATCAGCACAAGAGTCTCTGAGGAGAGGCATCCTTTGGCCATAGTACTCTCTGCTTTCCAAACACTACTGAGAAGATTTTCGATGATTGGCTTACTCTTCGCTGATGTTGTCGATAACGGAATCTTTCCATAAATTCATAAGAAAAGCGGAATGACCCTAGTTGATCAGGGCATTGAAGCTTCGTTTCTCAAACTTCACAGGTCTTTCTCCACGCACTAACAGTAAGAATCAAGCGCGAACGAGGCGATGTTCCGATCCCGTGTAAAACTTCGGAACAACAGTCAGTCAAACTCCGATTGAGTATGATGGGGTCTTTTCTTATGTAACTGCCCACCAGGTGGTTTCCATGTCCGTCGAAAATGCAGGGATTCTGGAACTACGAATCATCATGGATGGTGTGAGTCGACATGATAATCGCAAACAACCCTACATCCTCATTCCATTACGCTCCATGAGTCGCCCTTCAGCAGGACTTTGAAGCCAATTTTGACATTCCAAACACCGACAATCATCTTTAAGTCACCAATCACAATCACTTCACCTTGTCCTCTCTGAAGAGTCTTTCAAGATTCATATGAAGCCCTTCCAGCTCCTTTTCCTTGTAGATTGTTGTTAATAGAGCAGAACTAACGAAGACTTTTGGAACTGGGATCTAGCTATTTAATCGCAAAAGTCCGATTCGGGTTGTCAAGCTCTCGCACGAATCGATGTTCATGTTCAAGTGTGTGTTGACGAGAATTACGCCGTGGACGACTCTGGTGTCGCATGTTCAACTGTGAGGATGTCAAATGCCCTATTTGGTTGGCATAACGGTGCTATTTGAGCATGGTACGGCCCACACTCAAGCCAAGGCATACTTACACAGACATATGTACGATTGTTAGTGAAAACCGTTTTGCTTAGGTCACCTCCGGTAGAACCGTTCTCCGTTCTACAGTGTTCACAAAAAGATCTATGAGAACAACAAGTGTTCACCTGAACAGTAAGTAGAGCGCTAATGGCTTACGATCTGCACTCCCACAACAAAATGGAGTGTGGTAGTCGGGAGGGAAATCCACTCAACACCCATTGCTGCATTCAATTGGGAATAGAAAAGCGGAAATCAGAGAGCACTCCATTGAGTCTGTACAGCAGTAATGTCGATAGAACTAAATGATGAGCTAAGTTTGCTAGAAGTGACGGTATTGTGCAAACTATTTGAGGAAGTTTGAAGAGCGGTTGCCGTGCACATTATTTGGCGGTGATATTGAGCGGACCTAAAGTTTTGTGCATTGCATTGTAGCAGCGCTATACTCGCTGAGTGCGCACAAAGCTCAGTGCTTTACATGCCTAGAGTAGAGACGGAGAGGAAACTCATTCACTGGGTTCTCAGACAACTATGTGGCTAACAATAGATGGGAATAGGAACAATCATCCTGCATCCGTGACCTCATACACATTCTCCGGGTCGGCGTTTTTGCGGAAGTAGCGCTCGGTGACATTAACACGGGCTAATGATATCTATCCATGTGATTTCCGATCAGCGCTGATTCCCCTTGCAAATATAGATTGGTTCTATTGATTGCTACCAAGGTTATTTCGAGGTCATTCGAAATCCAGCCATTTGAAAACAACCTTAGATAGGTCTGTATGTTATGTGAATCACACAAAAGCCACCAAATTCTATCTCTACGAGAGGGATCACAATCAGACGAGCTGAAACCAGTTCGACCTGTCCCTCAAGGCTGACATCCATCTTCCATAAATAAATAGCATGAATTAGCAGTCTGAAATGGTCTAGGATTATAGAAAAGAAGGGGAGCGGTTCGAGCAAGCACTGAAACAAATTATTTTGACAGCTTTTCCAAGGTGATGCATTGGAAAAACGACGCCACTGACGTCATCAAGTTCGGATAAAGAGTAGTGTAAGCAAGACGAAAGAAACTAAACCGACCTAGATGCATAATCATAGGCATGGCCAGGCAAAAAGCATTTGGATTGAAGTCGGAGCCAAGCGCGACGATCACTCCTGAATGTATACAGATGGAAATGAGTTCCACCTTCTATTTCTTGGGATATTTATCCGCGCTGTACGTTTTACCAACAAATCGGCTGCAGAACCTTTGGTTCGCTCACTGCGTCAAATATGAGATTTCATTTCACTCTCTTTAAGGCATGCTTCACGATAATTTTGGTTTATCTAGCTTCACACGAGTGAAGTTAGATAAACTAGTTATGCAGAGTGGGCAAATGCGGCAAAGAAAACGCAAAAATTAGCGTATTTAGAAAAATATAAGGCTCCAAAGAGAAAGGAAAATTAGGGCTTGTACGGTTGTACGTAATGGTACAACAAAAGCTGCATGTAAGAGGATTTCGGCAGAGCTGTCCAAATGTGCACGCCATTGCATACAGCTGGCAGCAATACGCCGCCTGCGAGCAATGTGTGGGTCCCGGTGCGAATGGTCTAACTTATCTCACGAGGTAACAATCTCGTGAAAGTTCAAAGTTTATGGAAGCCCGACGTGGAGCCTATCTACATAGAGCCTTATGCTGACAGCATGATTTTAAAGTACTGCTGAGCCAACACACCGTTCTCGATCATTTTCCTAACTGGAGGAGGTGTGAGGCGAAGAATGAAAGCTGTTGACGGTAGTGCAACCGCCACTGTTCCAGATTTGGCCATCGCTCGTATGCCGTCATCGGAAATTTCTTCTAAGTGAGACATAGCGCGAGCCTGGAATTTTCCTGACTTCTTTCGATCAACTGATTGGTCACACCTAAGCCCACTCATTCGAAATCTGAACAGAGGAGAAAAAGGTGCTTTGTTCCGTCGAGCATTCGCATCGGGGATCTGCATACGTGATTTTTATTTTTGATTCATTTGAACCGTGATGTTCTCATTTAATCAGGATTTTTACTTAACAGAATGGCATATGAATCGCACAATCTCTCTAAAGAATCATTTATGCCTTCTCATAAATATCTTCTTACTGCTCGTTCCGGGGGCAAAATAAGTAGCGATCAGGCAAAGACTCCAGAAATCACGCCACAAAGATCTTAGGAGAAGCGCTACTCAAGGACCTGCTCCGGCTGCAGAAGCGTCACCCCAAATTCGGGTTGAAGATATTCACGCCCACAACTGAAGAGTTCCATCGTCGGCCAAATGTCGAGAAGGATCACGAAGTTCCCCTACAATGAGGATCAGGATGATGGCAGGAGGCGCTCCAGCTCGTCTCGAAGAATTATACGGGACAAAGGAGACTTGCGTGCCGGTCTCGATGCCAGTCGTCCTCAACTTTCCTAAAAAGCCCGGACAGCTGAATTGGAAGCAGTTGCTTGACCCTTTGGAGACGCAAATAGAATCAAGAAAAGTCTCCTGCTGCGTCGTTTCCAGTACTTCTGAGCGAATTTCGTGTTCAACGAGGATATCGAGAGCTCCTTGAACGGGCTGAAAGTTCTTCAATGAGAGGAAAGAATTTAGGACATAGAAAGAAGTTCTGGCGTTACTCGCTCCGCTGGTTCCGAATCCCCGAATTGGTCGTAATCGCCTTCCATTCCTGCGCATGCTAGACTATGGCGGGAAGATCACCATTCACGATTTGCCAGAGAGTATCACGTTTGGAAATACATTAAGAGTGACTGTCTCAAAAAAGGTGTCGTCCCTGAACCCTAATGAATGACACCTTATTGAAAAATGCTGAAGAAGAACTGATCGAACCTATACTTCTGCCATGAGTTTGGCAATAAAAAACTGTAGATCCCTTCCTTTCTGGTATCACTCATATATTTGTACGCAAGTGCCTTAACACATTGCTGATGGAAGTTTGGAGAATAACCATTTCTTCAATCCAGAAATATATGATAAAAACGTGGTGAACCTATACCTTCAGGTCTCAGTGTATTGTGGAATGAACTCAAAACTGGTAACTTTCCTCAATCTCGGCTCCCATCTCTGCTCCACCAATGCGTGTCAGTTCTTCAGCATGGAAATTCGCCGCCAACCCCTGTTTTTTGCCGCTTTCTAGAATTTTCCGCCTAAATTAGGGTCGCTAACTGGACATCTCACCGAAAAAGCGAAAAGGAAGAATAATAGAACCGACGTGTTAGCCACTTCGATGACATTTTTCTCGCAGAAGACGTCAATGTTCTCCAGATTTTTCAGCTCTCCTGCCTCCTGCGCTTTTTGTATGGCGGGCAGCATTTCCTCACAAATCAACTTCACATGGCCTTCTTCTGTTGAGCCCTGGAACGAACAGCTTTTAAATTCGGCACCACGTCAAAAATTCGATAGATGTTTGAAGTCGAAAAAAAGTGACAGAGTACTTTATCACTCTATCAGTCAATTAGGTTGTTCTTCTAGCATCATCAATCGAAGTGACTGGGACAACGTTACGAGGTTCCTTTGCTGCAAGCGGCTGACAAACCGCCAGTACGGCTTCGCGCAGCTTCTCTGAGGAATAGTTGAAAGCAGGGAGCAGGTGGTTGTGGTAGAGATCAATGTAGATTATTGTAAACCAGTTGGGCTATGCACACTGACCGTTGACCTTGCCATGCCCTCTACCGCTTACCTACGACTTCCTAGAGAACCAGTATAAACAGAATCGGTTGACTTCCCTTTACATAACCGTTTTCCCATTAGGTCATACTCCCCAATTTGTAAAATCTGATGCCGCTTTGTGGGCATTGATCTGTTGACACTAATAAGTGGTCTAGGAATTGTTTCTATTCTAACCTTCTCTATTTCATGGAGTTTCGATTGTCCTGAGGCGAGTTGTGATTTTTAGTCTGTGACGTCATAAATAGTCTGGATATTAATCAAGGGACCAATATAAAGAGCATCGGTTGACTTTCCATTTCATAACTGTTTTCTCACCGCGCTCCTGTGATCTTCTTGCCCTTGATCGTGCCTATGTGACTATTGGGAGGACACACAAACGGGCATACAAACGGACACACANACACACAAAGTTAGCGCTTTATATATAGAGAGAATATATTGTAAATTCATTTGCTTGTAGTAAAAACATATTAAGTTGGTAGGAGGCAACTAGAGATTCTGACCTATCCTTTGTAGTCCTTCGGCCCCTTAGAAGAAGGAAGTCGTAGGAAGACATCAGTCCAGTTAGATGCGCAGCTTACGGTAAAAATGGTTTTTGAAATTTCCTGCTAGAATAAATGTGGGGCTTCCAAGAATGGTACATGGGCCGTTGTCAGGCCAAAAAATGATCGAGACAGGGCGTAATAGGTGCTCCAAAACTGGATTGGCCTGTGTAGACACTCAAAGTGGCCATGTCATGCCGGTCTTGCTATTACTGCACTATTTACAGGACGGGACGGATAGTACGCTCAAATGAGAGCACCCAAACGGCAATCTCGTACAACCCCTTCTCTCGCTACTTTTTCAAAGTATTATATCTTTTTGAATCCGAGATTTTTCCCGCTTTCTTCCCCACCCTTGCACTATTCTGCATCTTGGCTTCCATTATTTTACTTGAAATAGCTTCCTCAAAATGACCATGAACTGTGCCTTCAATATGCACTGAATTTGCGCGCAACCTCGAAAAATTTAATTGAGCTCCACCTGCAGCAGGGCTAGAATTTGAATGACAACAATGACATGCATGTATTCGTAAGCTCAAGTTCAAGTCGAACCTGTACAGCTTAACAGAAGGCGTCATCTTGCCATCACTGTGCTCAAGTGGTGGTCTACAACCTTATACTTGCTCTCTGAGTACCTTACAAATCACACATAAATTTCACGATCAGGAACAACCACATTCTCAACACATCTTTTTCCATTTCAGTTGACCTCGACCTCAGTCCAGAGCTGAATGGAACCTTTACTTGCAGTCTATCCTTTACGGAGGACAGCTATTGTGGTATTTTTCCCCTACAGCGCTTGATCTGAGACAAGAGCTCTAGCGTCTCGAATGACGCTATGCTGAACACTGACGTATGAAGCTTACAATTACGACACCTTTGCCTTGGCTATAGCTGCCTTGACAAGCTTTTTAAAGGTTTCTAGAGACTGCTGAGACTCCTGCCATTCGCCAATGATTCAGGCATCCTTGTTCCACTTCATAATTCCTTATAGTTCCTTGTCACTTGTCAGAACAGTAGGGCGACCTGCTCTGTGTATTTGCCGGAACGATTACCGAAGTTCCGGAACACCACCTTTACCCCGTTTTCACTCATTATGAAAACCTATCGCAGTGCTTGCTAGCAGAAGTTTATGCTGCTAAGCCAATCCTTCTATCGGAGTGCCTCGATATTCATTCAAGTTTGTTTGCGGTGCAGTCTTATAATCCTCACTATATGGATGTTCTTCAGAGTACTCTTCTGTCCCAATCGGTATGACTGTTCGAATCACAAGCCATAATTAGAAAGCTTTTTCCGAAGTGGGCATGAAGGTGTATGTAGTTATCATATGCAATGACTAGCGAATATCAAACTGTGCATGAGCATTCCCTTTTTCCTGAGCATGTGATTTTTGAAGACGTTTCTCGCAGAAAATCTCAATACTTACCTTTGGTACTGCATGGCCTCCACAGAATGTAGCAGATATTTCCAAAGGAATTTCTCTGTCGACGAGATCGAGTACCTTCAGCATCTGAAGAAAGCCTTCGACTTGGAAATGTACCTTCACACGATTGTATCCCTACCTGATCAGCTACACTGACTCCATTAATTTCCAGATACCTTTAGGAAAGTTCAGTTGAACAATAGGAAAGAAGTCAATAATAAGAACCAATGCTGAGAAGAAGAATCAATTACGGTTCTATATTGTTTTCCCAACGATTTATACTTTCCCGATGAATTTTATTGCCATTTATTCCTCCTCTCTCTCCTTCAGCCCTTATTCCATACAACACCGAATTTTTGGAGCTTATATATCAACCTTCACCTTTAACTCGCTTTCAGTGCTCAACCCGTAGCCACTCTTCGCTTCCAACGTTGTGGTTCCATTACGGAGCATTGTTTGAGCTATCTAAAGTAATAATTTACTAAAAGCATCATAAAAAGCGTGAAAAGAGCTCGTCACGACATTGTTCTTATGGATTATGCCCAAGAATCCGGAAGTAGCTCATTCAGGGCCATATTCTGTTGATGTCTATTTAGTGACAGAAAGGAGAAGGACTTAAATGAAGCCTACACCTTTTTGAAGTCCTTCGCCAAACTCTCCATACTAGCCTCCCGAGTCTTTTCCGTAGTGAAGTGAATCCCTCCACCAGCGGCTTGTACCTAAAGTGCTCATTTACGATGACGATTTCGAAGTTCTCTACTTCTTCAAAATCCTATTTTTGTTGCACGAATCAAAATACACTGAAGTTGGAAACATTTTGTACTGCAAATTGGAATAGTTGTTACGGAAGAATCATGTTTTCGTATGACTGCACTGCCTTAAGCTATTCCATCACAAAGGGAAGGTCCGACCTGCATATAAGTCGCTCCAGCCAGTTTCATTGCGAATTCGTGCACTCGATCACCGGCAAACACCGGATGGGAATGACCGTCAACAAAACCGGGCACCAGAATACCTGCAAAACTCAACGTCCACAAGGTAGTGATCGTTAAAGTACTGACAAAATTCAGCAAGCCTTTCCGGACATCAAAGGTACTTGTGATAATTGCATCGAACTCAATCGGTACATCCAATATTGTGAGGGTTCCCACATAAAACAGATTCGATAGTGGTTATCTAAAGGCACAGTTCACGATATTTTGAGGTACCCCTTTTTATTCGAAAAGCGGAAGTACTGTTTGAGACTAGTTCATCGGTAGTAAAGAAAGCGAGAGAATTCGCCGATATCGAGAAAAATATGACTCCTCAAAAGTAGGGAAAATAGAGGTTGGACGAGATTGCCATGAAAGAAAGAACATGAAAGGGGTATACGGACGAGATTTCAGTTATTGCAATTGTTCAAAGAGCTGACTATATCGGGCCAGAACTGTATAGAACTGTGCTTCACTGTCGCTATGGGTCATGTTAAGTTGTTTGGACTTCCTACATGGGTTCCCTTGTGGTCGGTGCAGCCTCTACAATGCCGGTGAACTCGTCCGAGGATACATACGGGCCAATCTTTGAGCCTCTATAACTCCATAACTAGGCCGTTTTCCGACTTAATAGTGCCAGATATGGTGTACGAGGGGGCCTCAAATTCATCCTGTGGAGGAATCCAGAAAACATTTTTATCGTGAACTGTGCCTTTAACGTGGGCTTCCTCACGAAGAGCTGTATACCAATGTTGAAGTAGTGAAAGCGCCCCTCTTTTGGGGATTACGCCGGTGTGATTGGCTAAATTGAAACGAGATCTAGTTAGTTTTGCCGTGGGGATGCTCAGCAGTCACTTCATCTGCGTAAGAGGACACTTTGATTAGGTTCTACTCCAGAAAACAACAACAAGAACCAGCGTTGACACAGACTTTTCGTGCGCAAAGCAACCTTGGATGACGTAACAAAAGGATGGACCCTTCCGTGCGCTGCACAAAAATGCAGAGGACTCAATAGAGCCGAAAAAACTGGTTACCTCCATGCATGCTCAATGTATGTTCGGTAGGCTTCCCATTTTGTATCTTGGAAACCTGCAAACATTTTTTCTGAAGTTCTGACAAGTACGGGAGATTTTCGTGAATCAAACGATAAGAAATGACGACAAGTGAGGTCCATCCTGTGGCCAAACTTGGAGAAATCACTCACTTCTTCATGCCGTCCCACAGCAGCAATGGTACCATCCGCTGCAACCAGAACAGCAAGCTGATTCTCGGGATCACTGAGCACCTGAACGAATGCCACTTCATAGGTGAGAGGAAAGTTGTCATCAGTTCATTTTATGAAGCTGACCTTTATGTTGGCCATATCGGCTCCTTTAAGAAATGCTACATCGCCACGATCAGTGATTTGAACAATCTCCTTCAATCCAGTGATCAAAAGGCGAAACATGATGTATCCTGAATGAAGTTCGCTGAAGTATAGGAAATCGAAGAATTCAAAAGTCTTCGGTCCCTCCGTTGTAGCCTTCCCTACCCCCTGATGATTGATTTATGGAGGTACGTCATAGATGGAGCAGGCAATGAACAAACATAGAGATAACTCTCCCCGAGTGGAAAATCGATACAGGCCAATGTTTAGAGATGGGAACAATCGAGAGATGTTGCTGTCTCCCAGGTAGGGCGGTAATAAAATTGTCGACATCGATTTGTGATGGCAGTTATCGGTCGCGGACATCATTTTACCAGAAACAGCACATTCCTTTCCACACGGTGAGAAACTATCAATCTTACAACACAAAAACAATAGCGGAAGCAGTATCTCCACTTTCTATCACTCGCTCGTCTCATGCCGATATCGTCAACGCAGAAGTCTTTCTTCGGATTGTTCAGGCAGCGCGATAGTTTCGAACCACCATTTTACCTGAGATATAGAACATCGTTAAAGGGAGACGAAAGTAGGGACCAAATCTTTGAGACATTTCGTGAACAATGAGCTTCGTATGTTCAGAACTGGTCCGAGGAAGAAACTGAGTGGCCGGACTATGACGTCTGAGAAAACGTTCACTCATTAACTCCATAAACTACTACTTATATGTTTTGATTTCGCTATCACATCTGGGAGCAGGAAAACGCCGAGTAGAGTATTGGCAAAAACTTCGATAAAAATGATTTCTGAAATCTCCCCATAGGATGGATTTGGATGGATTTGAGGTCCCCTCGTATACCATATCTGGCGCTATTAGATCGAAAAACGGCCTAGTGACGGCGTTATGAAGGCTCGAAGATTGTATCGTGTGTATCCTCGGACGAGTTTCACCGGCATTTTAGAGGCTACATCTATCGCAAAGGAACCCATATAAGAAGTACAAGCAACTTGTCATGACCCATAGCGACAGTGAAAGACAGTTCTGTACAGTTCTGGCTTGATGTAGTCAACTCCTTGTGCAAGTGCAACAATTGAAATCTCTATCCGAATATCCCTTCCATGTTATTTCCCTCATGGTAATCTCGTCCAGCCTCTATTTTCCCTACTTTTAAGGAGCCACACCTTTTACGAACTGGGCGAATTCTCGCTTTCTTCACTAGAATTAACTATTCTCAACCNAAAACAATAGCGGAAGCAGTATCTCCACTTTCTATCACGTAGTCGCTCGTCTCATGCCGATATCGTCAACGCAGAAGTCTTTCTTCGGATTGTTCAGGCAGCGCGATAGTTTCGAACCACCATTTNATCGCAAAGGAACCCATATAAGAAGTACAAGCAACTTGTCATGACCCATAGCGACAGTGAAAGACAGTTCTGTACAGTTCTGGCTTGATGTAGTCAACTCCTTGTGCAAGTGCAACAATTGAAATCTCTATCCGAATATCCCTTCCATGTTATTTCCCTCATGGTAATCTCGTCCAGCCTCTATTTTCCCTACTTTTAAGGAGCCACACCTTTTACGAACTGGGCGAATTCTCGCTTTCTTCACTAGAATTAACTATTCTCAACCTATACTTACGCTATTCGGGTAAAAAGGAGTACCTCAAAATTATCGTTTTCGTGGCCGCGCGAATTATCATCACTGTTCACTGATCAGCCCCAGTCCATACACGTCTTCTTTTTGAAATCTTCGACTGATCGCCGCCTTCACCAAGGCTGAACCAGTTTTGTAAACTGGGTACTGTTATTGCCCAGAAAATAGACTGCTTGGCGTTGAAAATTTTTTCAGAAAAAGAAAGATCGCTGGCTGATTATTCTTCCCAAATCACATCGTTGAGGGGATGAAGGGACAACAGAACCTCTCCCTAATTCTCTCTCGAACAAATCACAAACCCTCCATTGCAACCATAGTAAACCCACAAGGACCGATTACAACCAGCCCCATGCCCTGACTGCTAGGCAGTGGTGATTTCGCATAATATAACGGAGAATGAGACAAGGTTTTGATCACCCTCTTCATCAAACAAATGTCAAAAAAGATCAGATCACAGGGTAATATCGTCAGGACTAGTGCTCATATACCCCGTAAGGCGGCTTCCGTGGAATCCGTATAACAGTTCGTGTAACATTAGGTGCTAACGAATGATATAATTCATAAGTCATCGACTTCGCTTGAACTTCGTTAATAAAGAGCAAAGCAAACAAATAGTGAATAAATAATGAGCTAGTAGTAAAGTACCTATAAACAGGAAAACGAAAGCCTTGAGAAGGAATAAATCAAAGGAAGTATATGATTCCTCTTTTTTTGCGGATGTAGTGTGGTGGCTCAGTCATACACACACGGTCCGCGAATTCCAGATCGTCATTTGCCTAAACCAACTAGGAGCTCCATTCGTTCGGGGTCGATGCGTTTTACGATCAGCTGGAGGGATCACAATGAGAAGTCCGCCTCCAGGTTCGCACTTGGAGATTTCAAGGTCACGATTTCAGGCTTGGCGGAGCATCAAAAAAGTAGCCTGAGTAAAGCTAGAGCGACATAGTGAAGGGCAAAATCCCTGCTAAATATTGAAGCTGCTTACAAAGGCGTAGTGTTGTTTACTTAATACCCGGTGATGGGTCTGAACAAACAGACAGCATCCGTCCATTTGAAAACAGCGTCCACAAGGGCAGCAAAAACCACAGCTCTTGAGGCACCTGAAGTTCAGCATGCATCCCAGAAGCGGATATATGTGAGTTTGTGTGCCGGTTGAAATAGAAAAGAGACGCTAAAGTCATTTTTATCATTTATTTGTGTTTCTTTGCTTACTGGGAGTAAACAAATATCAATAATCATGCGGTATCTTGAGGAATTATCTTAGAAGAGATAGGGTATGAAAAAGATTATTTTTGAATAAAAGAACTAGCCTCTCTTTGAAGGCAGCAAAAGGTGTTTGCTGAGGCCGCGAAAATCGGGTCTAGATTGTGCTGCCTTAGCACTGAATCATAATGGCGCAAATATCAGGGAAAGTAACATTTAAAACCTTCACTCTACAGCGATACCTTCCCCTAAACTGCCCTAGATGGCCTTTTTGGAGCAATCGTAGTATAAATTCTAAGTGTCTCCACTTTTGTATGGTCATCTATCACCTGTCGTCCTGTAGTCAATCGATATCTTCAGCGGGGAGCCGCTGATATCTATGTACATCGGTTCCAGGGTAGCCCAATGGATTGTTCGAGAAACACGAGGTAATGCATTAACTTCGCTAAGAGCTTTCATGAAGAAGTCGGCAACCGGCGGCCGTCTTGGGGTTCGTCTGACCTTTTGTTGGATCCCGTAATATGCACCTTCTTCCAACGGTGACCACAAAATCGCATGATAGTCCGGCCCGCGTCTTTGACACGTCCTTCGCTTCCTTGACATGAGCCATCCCTGAACTTCGTTCGTCGACGGAGCTCGCAACTTCGGATTCCCTTCTACACCTGTGTGTATCTGAAAATTCCGAGCATCCTTATTTCCACGGTGTGCTAAATGACGTAAATGACGCTGATTACATGTTCATTATATTAGGTCGTGAAGAAAGTTCTTGCGTTTTTGCGCCCAAAACTTCAAATGCACATATCTCGGCTTAAACAAAACTTCATCAATCGAAATACCAACCATTACTATCGACACACTTTTGCCAACAAGAAATAAGTTTGTTTGACTCATTCACATAGAAGTCCGGAGATCAAGAGGCGATGAAATCGTCGAATGCCGCGGCAGCATCATGTTGGGTTTTGAAGCATTTCTTCTTGAGAAAGCCGTCGAGGCGTTTAAAGAAGTCTGTGGGAGCAAGGTCTAGGGAATATGGTGGATGCGGGAGAGTTTCACAGCCTAGCTCCATCAATTTTCTCAGAGTAAGTTGTGCGACGTTGGGGCGAGCGTTGTCGTGGAGTAGAAGTGACCCCTTCCTATCCATCAGTGCCGGGCTCATGAGCTAGCGTTTTCGATGCATTTCGTCAATTTCTTGACAGTATTTTTCGGCTGTTACGGTATCACCCGGATTCATGAAGCTGTTGTGGATCAGCCCGGCTGCAGAATTTCTCATCACAGTCACAATAGGTCTAAAAATGGATTCGTTCCTGTTGCGCAAAAGCAAGGCGGAGGCGAGCTCAATGCGGCGGTCTTTGTGGTGCTGAGTCAACTCATGCGGCACGCACTTATCAAGCTTCTTCGACTTCCCTATCTTCTGCGTGTGGGTGCCAACCGTCCTGCTGAAAACATTCAATCTCAAATCAATATCCTTCAGCGTTGTACGTGGATTCTCACTATGCTCATCATGTTTCAGGCTCTCATCGCCGGCACGAAATTTTTTAAACCACCACTGTGCTGTACGTTGATTCGTCGTACCTGGACGAAAGGCTGATATTCCGAGCCATTTCCGTTGCACTCCTGCTCAATTTGAATTGGAAAAGAAAAATCGTGCGGATCTGTCGTTTGTCAATGCTGATTTCGACCTTCTAAAAACCCCCAGGAATCACTCCGGGATAGGATCGATTATATACTTGGATAGAGCAAGAAATGCGCTTCACAATTGTACAAAAATTGACAAACAATCCAATAGCAAATAACACCGCGGCGAGCATTTGAAAATTGGGCATCGAAAAACGCAAGAACTTTCTTCACGACCCAATACTTTCTCAGCACCCAAATCTGCGTGGAGTACGTCGGAGCAGGAAGAATGACGGTGTCTAAAAGGGCGCAGAGCCGGATATTACTTGTCTTTCTCACTATTCTCTGGACATTCCCGACTGATCTCCACGCCTCGCGAAGTAATTGTCAACTAGTAATTCCTTCCGAGCTATGTCAATCATCATATTGTCTTCTCGACCTAGATACACGTTCCTTGTTAACATCATCTTTCTGAGGTCCTGTTGCAAGCCGACTTATCACAAGAGCTAGGTCAGCTTGCTCGATGTTCTGTGTCAGGAGCACGATTCCGCCTACAAGGTGGAAGTGTTATAAAAAGGGGCCGTTGACTTTTACTCCCATGCTCTTCCTTTCTGAATGATACGCATGTTCTTGGAAGCGGCAATGATAGGCTTGGGGGAAACAGTATCGCCTTTTCGAAAACCTACATATCTTCGTATTGACTATTACTTCACATAGATTCGTGAGTATGTGATCCTCTATCGTCTCCTCCACCCCTACGTGTCATTCATCTAGTATTCTGCCAGACCTGATAAAGCCACAACTGATGGTTGTTTTCGAGCATCTAGTTTGAGACGATTCGAAAGTGTTAGTCTAGAGTAGAGCATAAATGGCGAAGTCTACGGCGTATCGATGTATAAGGTTGTGGTAAAATTATGCGTTGTTGTGTGCAATGCAAATGGCGCGACCTCTACAGGCTCTACAACGGAGTGTGAACTCGTCCGCTTTGGGTGGTTTCTCCGGCTGAGAATTGCTTGTGGTCATTATCACCCCTGTTCTTGACCGTTTTCCGAAACGCCAGCACCACCTTTCCCATCCTTGGGATCATCCTGTAAAGAAATTTCAGAAGCCCTTCCTGTCGCAAACTGTGCCTCTCAAGATTACGCGCGTGTAATGTGTATAGATTCCAAGCAGCAGGCAGATTGGGCGACAACTGCCAACATTTTCTCAGGCAATATTGTAACGTTATATTGTATCGCAGAACCCATAATTTCAACGACATGGGCGCTTTGCGTGTACCTCGTGGAAAGCCCAGCCAGGCATTCTCCGATTAATGGTGGAAGGCCCTTTAGGTGATCTGATTCAATTCTATAGAGACAGGGCACCGTTTGTTTACCCACTCACAGTAGGTGTTTCGTAGGGCGACGAATAGACGTCATCTTGGTCCTATGATTTCAAGCTAAAGTGAAGTGAAGCTCTGTCAGAACTGCTTCTGTCTTCTGCGGACGCTCTTCTCGGCAGCTTCTGTCCTAACTTATGCGCTTTTCTATTTCAAGCCTCCCTTTATTCCTTCTCTGCACAGCTTCGCAAAATTGGACGTCAGTTAATGGTTACCCGCAGCGCGCGTGTTTCAGTGCTGGCGTATCATCTCGAGAGACTATTGTTGGCAACTTAAAAGTCGATGTTGTCAATAACGGAGTCTTTCCGTAATTAGCAAGAACGCGAAGTGATAGTCTCGACGCTCCCTTTCCTAAGCGTCGCAGCTTTTTTCCACGCAATGTAGAACCGTACTTAGCGCGAAGAGAACTATGTCCTGATCCCGAATAGACTTGAGGAATAACAGCGCAACGACATCAGTAAGAAAATACTTTCAATTGAACATATAACACTATAGAGTTGTCTAACAGGTGCATCCCAATACATCATAATTGAAGGCCATCTGGAAATGCGAATTACCATGGATGGTGTGAGTCGGCATGATAAACTCTTACAGTCTTTCACCCTTGCTCATTTCATTGTGTTCTGTTAATAATGATGTGAAGATCTACACCCGTATTTCTGGGGCCAATCTTGGGGTTGAAAACACCGACCGTGGCTTGAGGAATAACAGCGCAACGACATCAGTAAGAAAATACTTTCAATTGAACATATAACACTATAGAGTTGTCTAACAGGTGCATCCCAATACATCATAATTGAAGGCCATCTGGAAATGCGAATTACCATGGATGGTGTGAGTCGGCATGATAAACTTGAGGAATAACAGCGCAACGACATCAGTAAGAAAATACTTTCAATTGAACATATAACACTATAGAGTTGTCTAACAGGTGCATCCCAATACATCATAATTGAAGGCCATCTGGAAATGCGAATTACCATGGATGGTGTGAGTCGGCATGATAAACTCTTACAGTCTTTCACCCTTGCTCATTTCATTGTGTTCTGTTAATAATGATGTGAAGATCTACACCCGTATTTCTGGGGCCAATCTTGGGGTTGAAAACACCGACCGTGGAGAAAATTGAACATTCGATATCTCTTATTAGTGGCAGATTGATGATGGTGTGCAGGTAACGAATTTCGTTAGAGCTGGGATTGATCTTCTCAATGGTGAGTGCCCGCTTTCGGTTGTCAAGCTCCTGTATGGATCGATGTTCATGGTCTCTTATTAGTGGCAGATTGATGATGGTGTGCAGGTAACGAATTTCGTTGGAGCTGGGATTGATCTTCTCAATGGTGAGTGCCCGCTTTCGGTTGTCAAGCTCCTGTATGGATCGATGTTCATGGCTAAGGGCATGTCGACAAAGAAGACACACCTACGACGCTCTACTGCCGCAAGTTTGACAGACGGTTCTTCTTCAGACTCGAGAACGCGTACAGTGAGCAATGCCTCCTGGTCTCTGCAGTCCGACGATTCCGTACATGGCTTTCTTAGCTTGCGTAATCAAATCTTCGATAGACGCTTTTGGTGGATTCGTTTGTTCATTGAAAGTACAGGCATCTAGACAGCCTGTCATGGCTCCGAAATTCCATTCCATGAGCCCCTCACCTAACGCGACTGCACTGGCTCTTTCAAGTTCAAAGAAATCAGGTCCGTTCACATTCCTGATTTTGGCAGATATATGTATATCCACGAGTGCCATGCCAAGCTCTGACGTGCTGGCTGGATATACTCCGGGTAGCTAACCTAGATTAGAAAAGAATCTTACTTTTCGGAGACGACACACAATCGCTCCTTTCTAAATACAGGATTGCTATCGTACCAATCTAATAGTTCAGAAAAATTTATGAAGAAATGGAACAAATCGCCGCTGTAAACTGTTCATCAAATAGAAATTTCTAGGCACTGCCCGAACTTACTCAAACAGTTGTAAGACCATCACGGAAAGGCAGCCATGTTTGATATTTTAGAGGTTCGCAAAAGCTAACGCTTTCTGGGCCCCAAACGCAACATTAACTCGCATTTCGCTTAGAAAAGATTGTGCTTTGTGTAACAATATTCTTTTCCATGATGTATCCTACACCTTTGCCGATTCATTCGTGGATGATTCCTATGAAAGTTTGTTAGTAAACTATCATCCAGTAACCAATTCTTAAAAAGGACTTTAGTGGTGCTCTAGTCCATGGGCATCGAGTAGCGATGCGATGAAGAACTGTAAGATAATCTCAAACCTGCGTTCTGCTATTTTGGTTACCCTGTTCAAGACTTTCAGCAAGGAAACATTCTTTTCATCTTAATCCACACAAGTATATATAGTTCATTCCACTGATGTTGGTGGTTAGTACTTCTGAGGATCATGGCATCCTAGTCTCTCATAATAATGCACTTCTTTCAATCAAAAAAGGTGTATGCATTAATTTTCGCTGTTGAATTTGAAGGGCCGTTGCGCAACCATGTCATAGATTTATCTGTGAAATCTGTCATATTTTGTAAAAGGGTAATGTCTATCTATCTAAGGGCAGACAGATCAGTTTTTCGCAAAACCACGTTGCTCTCTAACTGATTGGACGTGGAACGTGATAAGTCGTTTTTCCGGGGGCTCCTCTCCTGCTGTTCGATTTCAAGAAAACTGCCAGTAAGGCCCACCGGATGTTTTGCGATACTAACGGAGAACAAGCTACATCTAAGCGAACATGCATAGAATGATTTCAACGATTCACAAGTGTAGATTTCGGCTTGAAAGACAAGGAACGTCTAGGCTAATCGAGAAAGTTTGGGGAATCGCAGTTGCCTACATTGTTTTGATGAATATTCAGCCCAGACTCAAACAGAGCTGGCAATGGAGCTGGACGACAACCTTGCGATTATTTCCAGACGCTTGCACGCAATGGGGAAGATATGAAAGCTAGGAAAATGGACCCCTCACCAGCTGTTAGAAAAGCAGCTCAAAGCGCGCGTGAAGGCTTGCAGGAAAGCCCTCGAGGAGCACAAATGGACACATTCTAACCGGACTGTGATAGGAGATGAAAAATGAATCTGTTAGCCTAGTATGAAACGGAAAGCAGAGTATGTGGATCGAGGCCAACCAACGGGTTTGCAGCGAAAGCGGAATATCCATTGCCAAAAAGTGATGCTATGTACTTGGTGGGATCAGAAGGGTNAGTTGTAAGACCATCACGGAAAGGCAGCCATGTTTGATGTTTTAGGGGTTCGCAAAAGCTAACCCTTTGTGGGCTCCAAACGCAACATTAACTCGCATTTCGCTTAGAAAAGA